AAATCTATATCTTTAACATTCCCCTTATCCACTGGTTTACTGATATACAGGCTTTTGTCCTCTTTGTTTTTTACTCCTGGGCCATATTTCCCAGCATTTTTTATGCTCACCTTTTCATTGATGTCATCAAGGAGCATATGAGGTCTACATAGAATTTCTCTATCTTCTCATCCTCCATAACAGATGTTGGAGCATAAACTAAAATTTCACGGTTGTCTTTTTGTGAGCACTATAATGAAATAAATGAATAAAAGAAGAGCATTTATTCAGTGCTTGCTATCTACAAAGCTCTATGCCAAGCACTGGAAAATAGGAATAGAAAAAAAAATGGGAAAAAGACAGTCCTTGCCATCAAGGAGCTCACATTCTAAAAGAGGGAAACAACATATATAAGGGGGTTTAATCTGCAAGTCAGGTGCAAGGCCTCAAAGACTCCTATGGTGCAGCAGCAAAGTTGATAGTATTGCACCATCTTTGATACCATTTCTATTGTTAAAAATCATATCTGTTTCTAATGTTGAGTCATTTGACAATGCTAAGGATCTTAATGGTGAGCCACAGCTTCTGAGGAAATTGAGGCTGAACTACAGAGGCATCTGACAGCGCATTTCCGCAAGGGTTGATCCCCTAGATGATGACAGCAAAGGCAAGACTGGTAACCAGTTTGGTGGTCTAAGAGGCACTTACTAGTCCCCTAGCTCTGGCTTACCTGGGTTGGTGGCGGGGAGGGCAGGATAGGGAGGATGATGGTCCCTTTTTCAACAAATTTTCCTCCCTGGGATTATGGTTGTATGGACCAATACAGCATGCTGTGTGTACTGTATTCACAGGGCTCTTGGGTTCACAATCTACCCAAGTAAAATTATATTTCTTATTGCCTTTGAGCCTACCATAAACCCAGCATCTCTATTTGCCTCTCCAAATGTGGGCTATCTTTCCACTTAGTTGCAGCTTTTTTTCCTCTTGATTTCATTTATAACAAAAATGTTGAGACTGATACAATTCAATTTCTCCACCAGTGTATTCACTCGGTGGTCATTGGACAAGGGTCTTACATTTAGAGAACCGACAATTTACTTTATGTTTAAAGACAGTCTAAAAATTCTTAGCATCATCCTATGCTCCCTCTTTGGTTTCCATCAGTATAAAAGTATAAGGAAGGTAAATGAGACTGAGGGCCATTTTTTATTTTTGCTTGCTTCATGTGTTGTCATGGCATAGGAATTAATCATCTGGTGGCAAACCTACTGGTAATAAGCCTCTATGTACTCAGCTAGTCTGGTCCTTGGAAAATAAATGGACTCTGTATCAGGAACATATTCAACATCTTTCCAGAATAATAGAATCTGCGCCAAAGCTCATGTATCACTCCCTAGAAATCCAGTGACATTTCTGCACCACGAGGAGGCGCCAGAGGAGGACTGTCAGACAATAAAAGTCCTTGCTGGCTGATTTATGGCTTTGAAGTTTATGATGTACATTTACATTATTACACGAATTATCCCCTTTGATCCTCCAATGATGATTCAAAACACTGCAGGCATCATTGTCTTCATTTTGTAAACAAGAAAGCTTAGGAGGTTGAGCTCCTCTCCCATGGCTACATCCCCAGGAAGCATCAGAAGTGAGATTCCAGCCCAGCTCCCTTCTCAGGACTTGTCTAACCCTCTTTTCACCCAGCTGCTCACGGCCAATAATAATCTGCAGAAAAACCAGACACATAAACCTTTTCCTGCTTCAAATGAAAGATTTTGATTTATACGCTATTGTTGTATTGTATAACAAATACACCTTAACTTTTGCTTGAGATCTAAAACTAGTTAGCAGTCTGTCCCTGTTCTCTTTGTGTCTGACAGCGTGGTCTCCTTTACTCTCTCATAGAATCATAGAATTGCAGTTGGGAGGGAATTTATAAGCTACCCAGGCCAACCATTTGGGGCAAAGAGCCTGTCCATTTAAGTTAATTGCTGTACACTATTCATTCCTTGTGCCTGTGTCATATACATATATGGCCATCAGTAGCTATGAATAATAGTAATAGTCCGTGAGATTATATACCAGAGTAAATCTGTACTTTAACCAAGTTCATCATGACCAAATTTCCTCCTTAACTCAATGTCAATGACATTCTCTAATTTTTCAACAGGGAAAAAAGTCAACAACGAAAAATTAAATGAAACAATCCCTTATAATTTGTTAACCTGGCATATCAATATCTGTGCAAAGCTGTTTATTTTTAATAAGGTCAGACCTTCCCCCAATAAAAAATATGACCTTTAAAAATTATTTAAAACTGAAGAGAATGAGGTTTGATGTATAAGAAACAAAGTTGAGGGCAGGGGAGCAAGGGAGTCAGCTCTTGCCTCCTCTGTGGGGCATTCTTTCATATACATAGCTGTCTCTCTCCTTCAAATATTCTTAGAACCTTTGGATCTCTTCTTTGCCTCCATTTCCTGCCTTATACTTGGTATTATATTTATCTTTGTCTCCTCCTATCCCCAAGATACTCGTTGAGGGAAGAGACTTTCATTTCTGTCTGTACTTCTAGTGCCTAGCACAGTGCCTTTCACAAAGGAGGCGTTTAATAAATGTTTGTTGAATTGTTTAATTGAATTGTTCAATGGACACTAATGCCTGCCTTTAGGTGTAACGAAAAGGGCACAGAAATTTGGGGTTAAAGAGCTAAGTACAATTCTCTATTAATAACTTTGCTAATTATTTCCTGTGTGATCTTGGGCAAGTCACATAACCTCCTCAGACCTCATTTGGAAGACAGGTGGGGATAGAGAGTTGTACTAGATGATCTCTAATGTCCATTCTATCTCTAAACCTATGATCTTAATTATGAAGGCATTTGACAGTCTCTCATAATACCTTTCTGAACAAGATGGCATCAGTGTGAGTTAAGTAAGGATAGTTAAGGAGAACCTCAGTTTCTTGAATGATCATTCCCAAAGTGCCAATTACTGATCCTTGTCAATCTAGAGAAGCCTCTAGTGGTGGGCTTCAGAACTTTTGTCTTCATCCATATTCTATTCAATACTTTTATAGGTAACAGAGATGTAGATATATCTGGCACAATTATCAGATCTTCAGGTGGCACAGAGATGGGAATAATCAACAATGTGTTAGATAAAGAAAACAAGATCCTAAAAGACTTAAAGTGAAACTTAATAATGATAAATACAAAATCTTATACCATGTTAAATATAAGATTAGAAGATATGACTTAGGTCATATGAAAAGGACTTATGGGTAAACTCAATAAAATCAGTAGTCTACTATATTTTAAACTTCCTGAGTGCAGGGACCATATCATATTTATTTTTTACCTTTCTTCAGTGCTTAGCACTATGTAATGCATGTGTTATATGTTTAATAAATGTTTGTTGAATAAGTTAATAATTCAGTTAATGAATGAGCAGTGTAAGCTATAATGATCTTAGGGTGCATTAATTTGGGATGTTGTATTCAGTTATGTGCCACCTTTTTTTTTTTTTTTTTGGTGAGGCAATTGGGGTTAAGTGACTTGCCCAAGGTCACCCAACTAGTGCATGTCAAGTGTTTGGTCTGAGGCCAGATTTGAACTCAGGTCCTCCTGACTTCAGGGCTGGTGCTCTATCTACTGCACCACCTAGCAGCCCCTTATGTGTCACCTTTTCAAAGGGACATTGGCAAACAGGAATGAGTCCAGAGAAGCGTAGCTGAATATTTGAAGTGACTGGAAAACTTGCTGTATGAAGAAGTATTGAGGGATGTTTGGCCTGGAGAAGACTGGAGCAGGAAAAACATGATAGTTGTCATGGATTAGTTAAAATGCTCGCCTGTGGAAGATATATCCAAATTATTCTGTGTAGCTTCAAAGGGCAGAATTAGGCCTATAGTTAGACATTACAGGGAAGATTTCAATTCAATAGAATGAAGAATTTTAAATTTAAAATGTCTAGCAATAGAATAAGCTATTTATGAAACAGTGGTTTCCGCACCACTAGAAGTATTCAAGCACAAACCTAATCACCCCCATTAGAATGTGAGCTTCTTGAGAACAGGGACTGTGTCTGTTTTTCTCTTTGTGTCTCCAATGCTTAGAGCAAGGCTTTGTACAGGAAGCACTTAAAATTGCTTTTTCATTAATCATTCATGACACCAAGGTTGCAAAACTAAGTGATTAGAATGGTGCCAGTGTCCTGGAAGGGGTGGGTTGGAAGGAAAAGAAAATTAATTCTTTTTTGGACATGTTGAGTTTGAGATGCCTATGGGACATCTAGTTCAAAAATAAAAAGGAGGGGGAAAAAGGAAAGAATATGTGTGAATATACTGGAATTCTAATTTTGATCTTTAAAAGAATTAAGTCATTATAGGAAAAAGTAGGAAGAATATTAAAAAAGTGCCCGAGTAGGAACTGACTCCTGCTGAGGGTAGTAGTTAAAGTGAAGCTATTCATACCAATGGGAATTTCATTCTTAGTTTTGTAAGCCCAGGCCATGTAGTGTTGCAGTAAGGGAGAGGGAGCTCCCTAGTGGCCAGTACCTGCAATTCAGCTCATCTGCCCTTTATTAAGTTGAAGGAAATAATTGCTCAGCTGAGCTGGGAGGAACCAGGGTCAGCCTCTGCAGAGGGGCATAAGAGCCGGCTTAGTGGGTGGGTTGAGTTGGGCCTGCCCTGAAGAATTAAGCTCTGCCTTTCTTCAAAAAGCATCATAATTTGAGGGAGAAAAACCTAAGAGGAGAAATTGGATAGGATCATGCCTCTTTCCACATTCTGTCTCATGTAGATGCCTGTATTTTACATAGTATAATGCTGAGTATTTCCTGGTCAGAGGTAAGAACCACAAATACAGTATGATGAAACCTAATCTGCCAACTGTTAATACCCATGCCTTGCTTTCTCCCTGGTGGAATTGTTTTTGATTTTGATATCATAAAGCCTGAAAATGAACAATGGTAAAATCAGAGAAAAATGTATTAAATCTATATGGTATTTTTTCCCCTTAATTTTAGAAGTGGAAAGCTAAACAACCATTTAGAAGCTGCTATTCATGAGGCCATGAGCGAACTGGACAAAATATCTGGGAATGTAAGTGACTGTTTTTACATTCTACTGTGCACTGCTTTGAAAAGAAGAGTGTTATTTTCATTTCTTCTGTGATGATGCTATCAGGTGATCAGATACAATTTCCTAAATAAATTAGAGGGTGAAAAGATAACTAGCATCAGGAAACATTAAAAATAATTTGAAAAAATGTATCAATGTTAACTGTATATTTATTCCCAGAAAGTAATTTTTTTCTGTCACATGTGATAAGTCTGTATTTTCTTTTAGAGTCTAAATAACAAAACTCTGAAACTCAACTAATAATACCTTGCTTTAATTTGCCCCATGACAAATATTGATATTTGTTGTTGTTATTTGTTGACATGATATTTGTTATTGTTACATCAAATATAATTAAATATTAAATTTATAAATACCTATAGAACTGACAATATCTCATTGAAAAGGCAGTCTTAGTATCTTAGGTTTAGAACTGAGAGGAACCTTTGTCTTCATGATATTTTCAATTCAGGTCAGTGAGCATTTATTAATCATTTATACTGCAGGGCACTGAGCTAGGTGCTATAGATACAGACAGAAATTGAATAGTCCCTGGGCAGGTCCATAGTTGGAGAGTTGGGTTCAAGGGTATAGGTAGGCCCAGTGCATTTAGAAGGGTTCCAACTGAACAGGAAGTCAGAAGGGAGCAAAGTCCAAATAAAATCTGGTTTCTTTTATTTATGGTCCCTTTTTTCTCCCCTAAAATCATTCCCCCCAAGATTTCTGGAATTATTGACTGTAATGCCAGCAGAATATTAATTAAGGTCTCCTTCAAGTACCTCCAGTGACAGAGAACTTAGTGACCAAATAAGCCTTGTCCATTTCATTGTTGGATATCACTGATTGTTAATAAGGGGGTTTTTGGTTGTTGTTCAGTTTTGACCAACTCTGTGTGACCCCATTTTTATGGGGTTTTCTTGGCAAAGACAGTGGAGTGGTTTGCCATTTCCTTTTCCAAGTTCCTCCTTAGCATGACCCAAAGTCTGCCCACTTGTAACTTCCTCTCATTTCTTTAGTGCTAGCTGTGTCCTTGGAAGACAACATAAGAGAGACACGATGGGACAATGAAAAGGGCAGTGGAGTTAGAGTCACAAGACCTGGGTTGGAAATCTGGCTTTGCCATTTCTAGCATCGTGACCTTGGACAAATCACTTTACCCACTCTGAGCCTCATTTTTTTTTTTCATCTAAAGTGAGTGAGTTTACTAAATGATCTCACAGGTCCTTTCCCGGTCTAAAATCCTATTAATTTAAGCCTCATACTTCTTCCATATGATAACCCTTCAGATATTTTGTAATAGGGATTATGTTGCCTACTGAGTCTTGTCTCCAAGTGAAACTTCTCTAGTTCTTTCAAAGAGGCTAAACATCCTCAATTTTATACGTCTTGTAACACATGTAAATTTTTTTTACCTTATTACCTTCCAGAGGTCAGTGGCCTCTGGCCCTTGGGCCCACCACTCACTCACACTGCAACTTCACAAGGGCCCTTAGCCCTGCCTCCCTGGACCTCAGACAAAAGCAACCTAGAGCATGAGACTCTGGCTCCCAATTTCCTGTCCCCTCCACATGCACCCCACAGTCACCACTCTGGCAGTACCTCATGCCCTGCCCATGCTCAGCCTGGCATGAAGTGTAACAACACTTTCAATGCCAATCATAGTATTTAAAGATGAGTGGGCCGTTGCCTGCTCCTCCAGCCTACACAATCCCAGATCCACCAACAGATGGTAGTGGCATTCTGCTTTACATCCTCGTCATTCTGATTAATGAACAGCCTTTTCCTGGGTTGCTGTGTGTTTATTCCTTAATAATCCTTGGCTTTTCTCAACAGTTACAGTATGTAAGATGAAGCAATGAAAAATAAAACATTTTCACATACTAAATTTATACATTCTCCACATTGAAACAAAATCCTTAGTCTGATGATCCTTAGAGGTGAAAACACATAGCCACAACTGAATGCTTTTTTTGTGTCCTAAATTCATTTGGAGAGTAGTGGCACATTGTGTTTATTCTATTAATCCTCTGTTCAACCCTTAGTTTTCTAATGTTCTGGGATTCATTACGGGATACATTGACTGTGGGCACAACTATTACTTTAAGGAAGTCATAGGCTCATAGAAGGTCAGAATTGAAAAGGTTCTTAGAGGTCACCTGATCCAACCCCTTCGGTTTACAGATGAGGAAAATGAGGCCTGGAGAGGTTAATTGGCTTGCCCAAGGTCACACATCTGGATAGTAGCAAAACTGGAACTAGACCATAGGTCAACTGAGTTCTCATCGGATGTTGAAGAAGGGAACTTATCCCCTGACAGGGCAAGGTGTGTAGATAAGTGACTACAAATCCTAACCTGGGCACGTTACTGTCAAATAGCTGTTTTCTTAGAAATCATGTGGTATTTGTAACATGCACCTCTGAAGTTTTTCTCATTTCCTCATTTTCAGGTTCACCAAATCCCACAGGGAGATAGACAAGTGAAGCCTCCAAAACCCAAGAGGAGGAAGGTTTCCAGATAACATTGAATGTCTCTGCTAATGGTCCAGTATTTATCAAAAGGAACGTGCACATCTATCTGTCGATAGGTATTGGTATAGCTGTGACTCTATCAGTGTCTAGAGCAAGGCAGATAGCTGTCACCACTACCGGGTGCTAAATGAAACAGTGCTACCACTTTTTCCTGATCAGGAAGGATACTGAGTGCTGGATAAGCTAATGAAAATCCTTGAAAGATGACAATAACAAGGCATCAAGTGATTACTGAAAACCTTTTTTCTATAATACTAAAATTGTGATTATAAGAAATAGTCCAAATGTTTCTGAGAAATTTTCATTGTGTATATAGATAATACAGAATTTCATGGTGATATCTGAATTGTAAATACTGTACAATATTGTCATGTACAAGCGTACCTGATGCACACTTTATCTTTTATTGTACAAAAAAAATAGTGTACAAAATTCTTTGGTTTCTATTGAGTACACATACCAGAGACTACCAGTGTAAAGTGATAAATAAAAATACAGCCTAAATGCTTTTATATGATAATGTAAAAGATGCTGTTTTTGTATTTAACAGCAGAGAAAAGGCATGATTATGTAATACCTTAATTATGACATACACTTCACACCACTGAGTGTTCATTTATATTGTCTGTTTGGAATGAACCTTGCCTGGAAGTACTGTACTCCATTTCGGGTCTCTGTAGGAGAGTGCAACCTTGCAGATTCCTAAGGGGATGTGGGCTCACAGGTCTAAATTAAGAATTCAAAAACTGCAACCATTTGTTGCATATTTTTTTTACCTAAGTTTTAAAGTAGAATAGGTTTTATAAAAAAAAAAAATCTTAGATGGACTATTTTATTCAGCCATTTCTGTAGTTAAAATTTCATAGCCACCTGTTGAACTGCATCACTTATATGATATACCACCATTGACTCTCAAAAACTATGTTTATTGGCATACATTATCTGACCTGATAAAACATCCTGTTTACATACATTGGAGGCAAGGGCTCCATTTTGAAATCATTATCAGTTAAAGACAAAATACATTTTGATTTTTATAGTAACAAAAACATACATGTCATCAAAATGGTTTTCATATCCATCCTACAGTATTACTAAACCAGTCATTAAGGTGGCTTACAAAATTATTAGCAATGGTAATTTTTTATCAGTATTATGTAACATATCAGATTTATTTTATTTAAAGAATTATTTATACCATTAACAGATTCTTATATATATTAATGTGGCTGAAATGTGCAGGTTAAATCTATTAACCAAATTATTTATATTATATTAAGTAAAAAATGTGAAACAGATGTAGAGAGGAAATAATACACTACAAATATACAAACCTAAAACTGTGAGCCATTGTAAAGTACAAGAAAATTAATAAGAAATGTAGCACAACATAATTTTCCGTCTTCTTCACATTTTTTGTGGTGGTGGTACAACCCCATCTTCCAGGCAGCAGAACATAGGTTTCACTCCTCCAGCCTGGCCCAGGTTGAAGGCCTATTGAAATGGGGTCCTAAGGATCTACCCTCCCTTCATTCTTGGAACCACCGTGTTTTCCCCACCAAAACACTTGATCCCTGTAAGAGCCATGGTTAACATGATGCTCTTGTGTTAGCTAGGAGAGCAAGTGAGTAAATAGTATGTTCAGATGTTAATCCCCATGCTGCTGTGAGCGTGGAGACTCTTAATCACTGAGCATCCATGAATCCTTTCTGCTCATCTCCCCACATCAATCTCAGAGCCCAAACTCTTTATTTCTGTATTGTGACAGAGATCCACTGACCCAAGGAATGAGGGATCCAAAGTCATTCCTGAACCTGGACTCTTTGGGCCACAGCACACAGCACTACCGCTGGGCTGACTTTCGGTGTCTCACATAGATAGCTCTTCATTTTTTTTCCTAAATCCCCCTACCTTCCCTCTCCCTTCCCACTTCCCCAAACCTGATGGAATGCAATTAGCTACACTAAGCTACAGTGGCCTGGAGGCAGAAACCCTTCCTTCTGTGGGGTAGGTTCATTTTGTCTTTTATGTAATGGCAGGGAGCCTTGCCATGGTCCTTCATGCAAACTCATGTGAAGTGATTCTTTGTGTAGTTTAGTTAACACTTTTTGTTACAAGTTAATGTTTGTTATGTTTAAAGTTAATGTTGTCCATTTTCCGTACCAGCCTGATTTTCTGCTGTTTTGTCTTTCACGGATGTTTTTATTCACAGATTCACATATGTGTGCGGATGCCTGTGGATGTGTGGGAGTGTGTGTGCCTGTGGGAGTGTTTTTATTTAGGTTTTTTGTTTTTCTGTTTTTAAAGCTTTGTTTTTCTGTCCTAAAACTGAGTTTGTATTTGACCAACCCTTCTTTCTTTTTTTTTTTTTTTGACATTTTAAACTAATTAGGTTTGTACTTTCTCACCAATGTATACTTTACATTAGTAGACTATGTAAAGTATTTTTGTGCACTTGATTTCAGTTAATAATGGCATTGATGTGGGTGCTAGGAATAGTTTGTTTCAGTCCATACAGGTTTTTTTTTTCCTCTTTTAGAGTTTTTATGGTTTCATGTAAGCAGTTAATGTAAATATTGTGAGCATTACAGGTCATGCAGTGCTGTAACATTTTTTAAAATGTTGCACCTACTTTACAATTAAAAAAACTGGTCACTCATACTTGAATTTTGCCCATAGAGCCATTTCTTTCTCTCTGCACTGAAGCATACTATTCATTTTTGATGGAGGCAAGCCCTCCCTACTTAGAATATTTTTTTGCCTAACAGGAGCTCCTTTTTTTTTTTAAACTAAAGATGGAACTGATACAAAACAAAAACCTTTTTTCCCCTTTAAAGAAAGTAGCATATCCTGCTAGAAAAGAAAATGTGACTATGATATGGGTGTTACATCCCTAAAAAGCTTAAGTACAAGAGCTCAACAAATGCAAATTAATTTTTAGGTTTTTCTGAACAAATGAGAATCAAATAGCTTTTTGCCTTCCAACTCTGGACTTTCTGGCTGCTACTGTTAAAGGTAATTCAGGATTTTCTTGTGTTTAAGTGGATTTTTTTTTCTTGTTCCCACTTCAGTCCCATTGTGACTGAAAATGCTAAATTAAGACAAGCACCTGCAATGTGAAAAGTGCACGCACATTCCCTCATGATGTCATGAATCTCTTTTTACTCTGTTTGCTTCAAAAACCCAATTTTGTATTATTTACAAACTGAATTTTTCTTATCTTTTCACCAACACATCATTAACATTCAAACATGATAATAAAGCCAGAAGCTGGAGACTTCCAGTGAGTCACAATAGTGATGGTGGCTTCTCTTCTCTCCTCCCCCACCAAAATACAATCCTTCTGAGTGTTCATAAGGACAATAGAACCTCCCAAAAAGCCATACCCCTAGATGATCCCTATTATTTTTCTTTGTGGATCATTCTATCAAATTCCCCACTCACGTTTATGATTTTTCAAAGCTTTCAGTGCTTTCTAAAAAGTCCCAAATAATTGTACAGTGATACTAAAGATTCTGAAAGGGTTTTGTTTGGTTTGTTGTTGGGTTGTTTTTTTTTTTCAAAGAAAGGAAAGATACTAGAGAAAACTAACTCCACTACGCTGTCCTTAAATTGCCCACTTATGCCAGTATTGTAAAACATTTGAAAGCCACAGCATAATGCATCACTTGGTTTCATTTTTCAGATGTTAAAAAAAAAAGTTAAGTCAGAATTTGAATGTTGACTTAATTTGCCACTTGTTTTATTCATTTTATAATCTGTATTAGCCAAAGAGACAAGAAAAACAGCATTGCCTATTTGTTAACTTCCAAAAAGTGAATATTAAATCAGTGAGCCAAGAGACATTATGTATACTCAAAAACAAATCGTAAGTAACAGTAAGAAGTCTGTTATGGAAAAAATATAGACCAAATTATCATCTTCAAATATTTTTAAAATCTGTTCATAATATTAATCTTTATTTTCAAATATGTGGCTGTGCATTCATATACACACTATGTGTGTACCTTAAAAGATCCTTTTGAAACCTAGAAATGATTGATCGAATAGATTATTCATAACGTAGATGTAGAGATGTCTGTAAATTACAAAATTTGTTCCCAGATGGCTTCATAATACACAAGTGCATTTTAGAATAACATGCATTTATGCATTTGGCATAAATATGCAGTCTTGTCTTTTTAGGAGAGTGGTTTGCACTATACCTACATTTCAAATTTAGTTAGTTTTGTCCAAAAGAGCACAATTTTAGAGAAAATTATGTGAAAGCTTTCATTGTGAAAAACAAATGAATTTTTAAATTAACTGAAACCATTTTTCACATTCAAGAGAATCTTTATTAATAACCTACAAAAATGGGCTCTTCTTGCAGTTAGATATTTTGGTACTAGGAATTAATCCTCAGGGATAATTTGCCACCCAAATAGAATCCATCACAATTTGAAGACATAGTTTTCTCTCATGTTGTTCCTTCCCTGTCTTAACTAACTCTAGGGAGAAAATCCTCCTCAACTTTTTAGTTACATTTGACTTCCACACACCTTGGAAAGCACTCGTTAGATTAATAGGACCAGGGGCAGCTAGGTGGCGCAGTGGAGAGAGCTTGGGCCTTGGAGTCAGGAGGACCTGAGTTCAAATGTGGCCTCAGACACTTGACACTTACTAGCTGTGTGACCTTGGGCAAGTCACTTAACCCCAATTGCCTCACCAACAAAAAAAAAAAACCAGATTAATAGGACTGAGGATTGCAAGTTAAGGTGGCTCATAAGTGACATCTTAAGAGACTCAGTTATAAGCAGAAGAAGTGGAGCATATCTGGGCAAAACAGCGATATTTTACAACCTGTCAATAAAAATCCAACTCCTTGAAGAGATGCCAAAGATACACATCTTTCTCTGTGGTGGAGGGAATCTTACACTAGATTCACATTAATAACAAACGTCCTTGATGTTTCTGATAACAAAATCCAGTTGAATCATGCCTATGAGAATGCCAGGTAATGACTCAAAGGTGAGTTATCTGACTATGCATGGCTGAAAATGTGAGAGAAGACTGAACAATGACTTCGAATGATAAGAGAAGATTCAGGTACTGTAAGCTGTCCAAATGAGTCTGACTGCTTTCCTTTTGGGATTGAGATATTTAATTTGGTTTATAACATGTGTGTGCACTAATAACTTAACTATAGAGGTTGTACTCAATCTTCAAAAATGCTTGCATGTGCACCCAGAAAAAAAACTCATTTCAAGTAACGGATTTTAAAATATATATTGTTTCATATAACTCAGGAAATGAGAAAAGAGCATTCCAATGATCATCATAATTCTTTATATAACATCTGTTCAGTAAGTTCCAAGAGAACATAGACATTTCCAAGAATTTGAATTCCTTATCTCTTCCAAATTTTTTTTTGGGGGGGGCAATTTTGCCTTGACAAAAAGGTAGGAAATTCTAAATATTTTCTCAATTGTTTCCTTTTATGAAGCAGTTAAAAAGCAAGGCGT